AGTCCTGCGCCAGCCAGAGTCCCAGCCCTCTCCCCTCCCCATCGCTTCGCACCACCTCTCCCCACCACTCTCCCCTCCCTGACCCACGGGGTCCCCAGGAGTCTGGGAAAGCGCCCCAGATCAGATCAGATCGTCTGGCTCTTCCCAGGCCTGGGACACCCGCTGCTGAAGAGCGCTCAGAGGCCGCCACTGGCTTTCAGGACTTTGACTGGCCAAGGTCCCAAGGTCTGGGTGGGACTGCAAGGGGCTGCCTCTGTCCCAGGGCTGCACCCGGCCATCCTGTTGGGGGGCTCGGCTAGAAGAAGTTGACCACCCTGCGGAGTGACTGTGCTCAGGCGCTGTGGGCCTCCCAGTCGTAGAAGCTGCGGAAGTCACCCCCATCCGCCACGTACATGCGGCTGTGCCTGGAGGTCAGGGAGCGGGGATCAGGGGCTGCTGGGAAGCCCCCTGGAGCTCTGGACAGAAGAGCTCCCCCAGCCTGGCCACCCAGCAAGCCTTCCCGGTGAAGCGCCCCCTTCACTCTGGGCTACACCAAGGTGCCCACAGAGCCCACCTCTGCTTTCATTTCCTTCCCCAGCACTGTGTGGTGTGTGGTGTCTGTGCTGGGGTGTGACACGTGGGGACAGGCCCAGTAACGTCTACATTTTAAAACTGTCTAGTCCTGGCGAGGAGCGGTGGCTCACACCTGTAATCTCAGCACTTTGGGAGGCCAAGGCGGGCAGATTTCTTGCGGTCAGGAGTTTGAGACCACCCTTGCCAACATGGTGAAACCCCATCTCTACTAAAACTACAAAAATTAGCTGGGCATGGTGGCAGGCGCCTGTAATCCTGGCTATTCAGGAGGCTGAGGCAGGAGAATCGCTTGAACTTGGGAGGTGGAGGTTGCAGTGAGCCGAGATCGCACCACTGCACTCCAGCCTGGGTAATGGAATGAGATTCTGTCACAAAAAAATGAAAGAATAAAACTGACCATCCTTGGCAAGGATGCACTCCCACCATCGCTGTGCACCCCACACACTCCTATTCCCTGATGTGGACCACCTTGCACAGATAGTGCCCCCAGCACCGGGCGGGGTGCCTGGCACAGAAGGCACCGTTCATTCATTCAGTGAACGTCAGTGGTTCCCCACGTGTGTGCAGAGCACCGTGTCAGGTACCAGAGGTGCCACGGTCAGACAACATGGCTCCTGCCCCTCTTGCCCTCATGGGGCCTCCCCTCCAGATGAAATGGCTGTGGGGGTGCAGTTGCACAGAGGAGCCTGCAGGGCACAGAGGGGTGGGGTGTGCTCCCAAGTGGGGCCCCTTCCCGTCCTCCTCCTCTTCCGCACACCACCGGGGCAGCCACCAACAACTCAGAGAGCAGAAAACAGGCTTTACGGAGCTGGGAGGACCTGGGGCTGCTGCGCAGGACAGAGTGTGGCCCTTCGTCCCCCGGGAAGCTGTGGGCCGGCCCAGGAAAGCAGGAAGGTGCAGTCGGAGGAAACAGGGGACCAGGGGAGGAGATTGGAGGGCCAGGATGGTGGCCTCTGCCTGGGAAGGGGCGTGCGGTCCAAGGAAGATGCCTCAGGACGGCTCGGAGCAGGGGCTGGCCTGACCCTGGCCTTCCCTTGCCATCTCTGAGACCAGCGAGGCTTGTGTCTCCTGGTGCCTGGCACGGTCCTGCCTCCAGGGTCGGGGCCAGGAAGGAAGAGAGGGAGGCGGAGGCGTAAGCCAGCATGGAGCACCTGCTGGGGGACTCAGGGCAGGCCTGGCCCAGCCAGGACCCCACCCTCCCCAGCCTGGCCCTCGTGCCCATGCCCTTCCACACCTGCAGCTTCCCGACGCCACATCTACGCAGCGTGGGCAGGTGCCTCAGAGGTACCCCCAGGGAATCAGCCAGTCCTTTCTACCCTGTGCTGGGCAAGAAATACCCCGAGCCACATTCTGGGCCACATGGGGAAGCTCACATGGACACCCCCAAAAGGAGGGGGCAGGGAACCACTCGTCCTCCCCTCCCCTTGGGCTGGCTGTGGCTACTGGGAGGAGGCAGGGGCCTGTCATGCCCCCATCAGCACCGTGCCCTTCACCACGTAGGGGTGGGGTTGGCAGAATGCCAGTGTGTTTCTCTCTGAGAGCCCACCAGGACGAGGGTCTGCGGGGATGGGTCATGCCTGGGCTGGTGTGGGGAAGGAGTCTGGCTGTGGCCGGTGGTGGAGGGCCCTGCCTGGCCTGCTCCCCAGACCCCAGAAAAGGCCTCCTGGTAGTGTCAGCCTCCTGGGCATCACCTTCTCCTTGACAAGGGCTTACATTGGTGAAAGAGAGTCTTAGGCGGCCAAGGCTGAGCATCTGGGTCCCCACCTGGGGTCGTGAGGCTCGCTCCTCACAGGGACAGCCGGATTCAAGGAGACTGAGCTCGTGCCTCTCAGTCAGAGAAATCCTAGCCTCTACCTTCCCCCACTGCGTTCTCAGCAAGCCCCTGAGTGGCGAGGGTGGCTCAGGGGACTGTGTCTCGGGCCTCAGGACATCCTCCATGCAAAGGGTGACTTGGGCCTTCCAAGACACAATTTTGCCAGCAAGTTTCCTAGGGCAAATTCTTGTTTGACGAGGCTACCCCTGGACTCCAGGTGCCACCAACTTAGGGCAAAATGGAATTTTACAAAACATAATCCTGGAGCTAGCCAGAGTGATGGAACGGCAGGAAGGGGCCCCCATCAGGCCACTGGGGAAAGGCGGGATGCACAGTCCTCCCTATCCCTGGGAACTGGGTCCAGGACCTCCCCCGGATATCACAATCCAAGCATGCTGAAGGTCTGATATAAAATGGCTTTGTATTGGCACATAACCCATGCATATCCTCCCACAGATGGTAAGTCCCCGCTTAACACCATCATTAGGTTCTTGGGAACCTTGGCTTTAAGCACGAGATACGTAACAAAGCCATTTCTCCCCTCATTAATCTCATAATGAATCCTCATTGAACAAGATGACATAGTCAAGGACCTGCCATACATCGTTTCACTTAAAGTCACAGTTTCCAAGAACCTATCCACAACATTAAATGAGGATTTACTGGACTTGAAATCATCTCTATTTACTTATGATACCTTATCCAATGTAAATGCTACGTAAATAGTTGTATGGGCTGGGCACGGTGGCTCACGCCTGTAATCCCAGCACTTTCAAGGCCAAGGAGGGTGGATCACTTGAGGTCAGGCGTTTGAGACCTGCCTGGCCAACATGGTGAAACCCCGTCTCTACTAAAAATACAAATATTAGCCGGGTGTGGTGGTGCGCCCCTGTAATTCCAGCTACTCGGGAGGCTGAGGCAGGAGGATCGCTGGAACCCCCGGAAGGCAGAGGTTGCAGTGAACTGAGATTGGGCCACTGCACACCAGCCTAGGTGACAGAGCAAGACTCCAACTCAAAAAAAATTTTTTTAATACAAATAATAGTTGCACAGTATCTTTCAGGGAATGATGGACATATTCAGCATAGACACCATCGTGGGGGGATCTTTTCACTGTGCAGTGGGAGCCCATGTACATGGGGTGCTGTCTGTGCACACTCTGCCTCAGCTCAGTCTCTGTCTTCTTACAGGCTCTCTGCCCCCGCATCCCCTCTGAAGCCCCCTGCAGGCCCTCTGCCCGCGCCCCCCACCCCCTGCATCCCCTCCGAGGCCCCCTGCAGGCCCTCCGCCCCCCTCATCCCCTCCGAGGCCCCCTGCAGGCCCCCCGCCCCCCCCCGCCCCCCCATCCCCTCTGAGGCTCCCTGCAGGCCCTCTGCCCCTGCCTCCCCTCCGAGGCTCCCTGGTCCTGAACCTCTGAAGTACAGAAGGCAAATTGTTCCTCAACTACTTTGACAGGAGCCAGAACCATGCATGGGCGGCTGGAACCTGTGTGAGGGGCTCTTGGCCTGACAGGAGGGGACTGAGGCCTGGGAAAGTGGCCAGCGCTGGAACAGGGACAGACACAGACTTGGCTGCAGTCTCAGCTGTGCCACTCCCGTGGGGCGGCCGGGGAGCCAGCTTCTGAGTGCCCGCTGCAGAATCGGGGGAGAACAGCTGCCTGCCCGAGAGGCGTGGGCTGGCCGGCTTGGAGGCGCTCGGAGGGTAGAGCTTTGCACAGGGGAGAGCGAGGGAGGCCTGGAGGCGCAGGCACGCTGCCTTTGGTTTCCTCGAGGTAACCCAAGTGTGGGATAGACAAACCCCTCTGGGCCTGGGCAAAATCCCCCCAGCTACTCTCTGTCCACAAGAAGTGAGCCAACCCGAAGTCCATTTCCCCCGAGAGGCCATGCGGTGGGGCTTTGCAGAGAGGTTCCGTTCAGGGGTCAGCTTTGCTGGGTAGGCTGGGGGCAGGGTGGGCTGGTCCACCCTTCTCAGAGCAGCTGAGTCCACTGTGGTTTTCCAGCCCATACGGCCCTGGGGGATCCCTTGGTAACCAGGTGTCCCCGGCTCCAGAGAACCAAAGTGGCCGCTTGTATCAGATCAATCGCAGAGAACTGCGCAGCTCTCAAGGTACTCTTCCACTGTTGTTCCTGGACCCATGCACTAGAGCGAGGGTCTCAGGATGCCTCTGGGACCCAGAGTCCCTCTCTGAGGCCCTTCTGGGCCATAGGGGAAGCACCCTGGCTTGGCTGGGTCAGGTGAGGCAGCTGAGGAAAGGAGAGGGCCCGTGGGGCCAGGGACACACTGCCCACCGCTGGAGGTCTCATTCCTGCCCCACCTGCCACCCTGCATGGCGCTGAAGGGCCCGGCCACAGGGCCTGTACTCACGCTCCGTCCCCGTACACCTTGATGGCATTGACGCAGTTCCTGGCCCAGCCCCGCTCTGCAGGAAGGGACGGCCCTCCAGGAACTGCAGGCACTGGCCCGTGAAGTTGTAGCCCTCAAGGATTTCTAGGCGCAAGTGTTCCCCATGCTCCAAGACCAAGCAGAAAAGAAGGAAAACGCTCTGAACTCCCCTCTCCCAGAAACGGAGCCCCGTGCAGGAAGGAATTAGGAGGTACCCAGGGCACTGGCACCCCCACCCCACACACTTCAACGCCACACTTCTGTTTCTTCTTCCACTTGAGATGTGGTTGGAATGAAGGTTCTAGTACTCTCAAAATGTTTCAAGCCACTGAGCTGGTCCAAGTTCCTCTTAGAACTGGAGAATCTGAGGTCCAAACAGAGCCAAACTGACCAGAGGCCACGGGTCACACTCAGACCAGGGCTGGGGTCCCGGGGCTCCCTCTGGGTGCTCAGCCTGTGGGGCTCCTGCCCTGGTCACACCGGCACACTCCGGGTTCTGACTTCTTCAGCCTGGCTGCGGGCCACAGGCAAGCCTTCAAATGACAACAGTTTAAAACTGTAATAGAACCTTTTGGTGAAACAAAACGCCAACTATCTAAAAAAATTCCGGCTCTCATGTGCTGAAACCCCTGCTGGCCTTGACATCATCATCATCCTTAGGGTCAGCATGCCTCCCTATAGGATTCCCACGTTTCCAAAACACAGGAGGCCCAGCCCCTGCCGGGCTCAGAAGCCTGGCCTGCATCACAGCTGGCCCCAGGAGAGCTCATCGGAGAACAGCAGTTCGCAAGATACCGGGTATATTTTTCATATAAATGGCATGATACAGAGGCCAGGGCCAACCATTTAAATGTTTTTTTTCCAAATGTACCACAGCCTGGAAGAAATACTAAGAAAGCATTCTTAGAATTTCAGATGCCAAAGCCCAGCTGGTTTTGGAACTGATGTGGAAAAGAGAGGGGGCCCCACACAGAGGCGCCGTCCCTGGGGTCCCTCAGATGTTCACCAGAGCCTGGGAGTAGGGGCGTCAGGGGAGGGTCCTCCCGGGCGTCAGGGGAGGATCCTCGGCAGACACGGGCCGAGATGCTCTGTGATGAGAGCTGTGCACCCCAGGCTCAGGAATCTGCCACTTCCCGCCCGAAGCTCCAGAACTCACAGCAGGGCAGTGAGTACTCATGACCCGGGAATGGCCTTGGTTAAATCCCACCCTGGGGGCAGCTAGACGGAAACTGTCCTGCCACGGGGAAGCCATGCCCCTTATCTGCCCTCCCTGCACACACCGGGCCACACCTGTTGGGCGACAACTACCTGTGTGACTCCAAGGAACCTGCTCCCCAACTTTCGCCTGACCTGCGGGTGATTCTCCAGCTTCTTCCATCAGCCATTCCAAGACCCGAGCATGGAAGGCTCCAGAACGTGCTACAAGGCCACCTGTACCAGTGGCCACACCAGGCCCAAATAAATCAGTCTCCTATTGCCTGAGTGTCCCCTATCTGGCTGGAAATCTAAATTTGGGTGATTTCAACAGCATTTCCTTTTCTTTTCTCAGTCTCGTTCTCGACCACCAGGCTGTAGTGTAGTGGTGCGATCTTGGCTCACTGCACCCTCCGCCTCCTGGGTTCAAACAATTCTCCTGCCTCAGCCTCCCAAGTAGCTGGGATGACAAGCACCTGCCACCACGCCCAGGTAATTTTTGTAATTTTAGTAGAGATAGGGTTTTACCCTATCTCTTTAGTAGGGTTGGCCAGGACGGTCTTGAACTCCGGACCTCAGGTGATCCGCCTGCCTCAGTCTCCCAAAGCCTTCAACAGCATTTTAAATGGAAAATGCAGCTAAATTTTTAGATCCCAAAGTTAAAGTGGTTTCTTGATATCCGCATGAAAACTCCCAGGGCCATTCCCGATTGGGCCCTAGCAACTTGCCCCCCACCTACTCACCTCATGCTGGAGGGTGGCTCCGGTTATAACCCTCAGCCTTACAGACCTTAAAGCTGGGAGGATCATGCGTAAAGCTGGGAGGTTCCCTGCCGCTGTCTACCCAGGGCTGACCCTTGGTCCCTCCAGCAGGAGTACTCACCATTCCTACAGGCTGGCAGGAGCCCATGTGGTCACTGTGGCTGTTCCAGTGGAAGAAGTCGGGGTAGTCGCCTTGCTCCAAGATAAACAGCTGGCCCTGGAAGTCGGGGTGATCGAAGCAGACCCAGGCTCCTCTCTCCATGCGGATGGAGTTCACTTGATTCATAAAGCCCCGGTCCCGGAAGTTGTCACAGTCCCTGAAGACCTCCAGCTTCCGCTCCGTGAAGTGCTTGCCCTCATAGAGTGATCTAGAAAGGGCAGGTGACAGAGCTTAGCGCTAGGGGCTTCTCTCCTCCAGTGTTGGATGGAGGCTGGCACTGGGGTCCCAACACCCTCAACGGAACCCCTACTCCCAGGCCCCCAAAAGCCCAGGCCTGCTGCACACAGTAGGTGCCCAACACAATTTGCCAACTGGGCAAAAGAATGAATAGCTGGTGGGCTGGTGCCATACACAGCTCCTGTTCCTCCCCACCCCAGGAGCTCACAGTGGGGCAGACGAATTTCAGCAGCTGTGTGGGGACAGGGATTTCCCCTGTGTTTTGGTGCCCATTTGAAAATGGGCTCTTTTTAACTTCCACTGCGTTTTCTAACTCGTTTTTAAATTATTAAAACATAAAGCCGATAATTACAAGAGATGTTTTCAAAAGAATAAACTTCACCCACAACGTCTCCGGTTCGCTCAAAGGAGTGTGAGAATGGCCCTTCCAGGCCCCTTGGACTCAGGCGTGGCCACATGCCTTCACCAGAAAGCAGGCAGACACCCTGGTGTTCTGTATCCAGAGTTACTGGGACTCGTTGTTACTGAAGCATTGCCCAGCCCATGCAGACTAATACGGCAAGACGGTCACCCCCAGACACTCTGAAATGTGGCCTTGGAGACTGAAGGCTTCATGAGAGTGGCCACATTGGGGGTACTGGGGAGGAGGAGGGAGAGCCAGGTTTCCTATCCTTCCTGCACCACACAGGGCTGGAAGACGGCCCCTGAGACCTTCAGGGAGGCCTGGGCACCAAAGGGATTCGGGGGTCCCTCAAATCTCCACATTTTTCAGAGAACCAGCCCTAAGTGTCCCTGAAGAGACCCTGGAGAAGAAGAGCCACAGAGAGGCCAGTCTTGGGCCAAGACACGCCGCAGTGGGGCTGAGGGCAGAGCGACAAGCCAAGCCTCCCCACCCCGAGGAGCCCCTTGGGGTCTGAACACCCTCCCTGCTCCTGACTGGGGGGCAAAGGGTTGGGACCCCAGAAGGAGGTGGGGGAGATGGAGACCTTCCTATCCACCCACACCAGAGAGGCCCCAGGCCAACAACAAGGCCACCCCATTGATGAGAAATGAAACCAGCTTCCCGTGGGCTTGTCAGCCAGCAACCATGTGCACCCTCCTGCAAGTTTCCTGGGGGTTGAAGGACACACTCACCTTCCCTGAGCGCTGCGCCATGGTGCGCCCGCCCCGCCCTCGGGTCCCCGTTTATACTGAGCTCTGCTGGCTCAGTGCCGCCCTGGACAAAAGATTTGCTGGGCTGGCCCCTGCGCGTTAGCGCTGTCGGGCTGGGTGTGCTAAACCTGAGGGGCAACCCGGCCGCTGGGACCTGCTGCGGCCACCCTGTGTCACTGCGCTGCAGCCCACCCTGCCCGGGGTCTCCGTGGGCTCTGCGTGTTTAGCTCCCAGGCCTCCTTCCTCCCTGAGCCCTCCTGCCCAGCCCACAGTGCCCCTGCACTGCCCTGGAGTGGGGAGGGAGAAAGGGGTGTCTCTCCAGACCTCCAGCCTTCCTTCCCCTGTGCTGCCCCTCACCCCTCAGACCCGTCTCCCTCCTTCCTCCCAAGGCCTGCTCCGAGCTCCCTAGCCCACTCCCCTTCCTCACCTGGCTGCTCTCGCCTTGGTGCCAACTTGTTTGTCTCCATGAGGTTGCAGTCGAAGCTTCCCTGGACAGACAGACAGCCAGCCAGACAGCCCTTGACCGCCACTCTCCCGGCCGCTCTGAGCTCCCAGGTCCCTACCTTAGACGTCCTGCTCCAGCTCACCCAGCCCAGCTGACCCCACCCCCCAGGACACCAGGCCAGGCCTCCCTCTCCTCCCGCTCTCTTCCTGCCACCTCGCTCCCTGGCACTCTCCCTCCCTGAGTCCCTCTCTCCTTCAAGATCCTGCCTAGGTGCCCAGGCGACCTGCGCTGCCCTGAGCTGGGGGCATAGTGCTCTGCCCCCTGCCTTTCCGCTGCACCAACCAGACCACCCTGGACGCCCAGGTTTGGTTTACAGCACAAAGCAGCCCCCGCCGAGGAGGGAGAGCTCCCCAGGGCCCGGAACGAAGCACCTGGCAGACGGCATTGGCTCCGAGGTTGTGGAGTGAGCAGAGTGGGGCCACAAGATGTGCAGCCCCCAGGCAGCTGCGGAGGTGAGCTGTGAACACAGGCCCCTGGCTCAGAGGGCTGGGGTGGTGGGGGACAGGCCTGAGATCAAAGGAGAGAGGGGCAGGGGCTCCGCAGGGGGTTCTGCAGGAGGGGAGGGAGGAGCTTCGAGAGCAGTTTGCTGCTCTTCCCTCAAACAGTAGAGTATATTTTTATGAGCATTTCACAGATGAGACGCCGAGGCCCAGGAAGAGGAGGTTATGCGACCTTGGGGCAGAGGGGTGACCTTGCCTCTGCTTCGGGAGGTTTTCAAAAGTAGATAGGGCACGAACTAGGACCTGCATGTCCCCCTTGAACCCAAGGACAGTCTTCCCCAGGGAGACCCCCCCAGCAGGCTGCCTCCACTGGCGCCCCCACTCGCCAAGCCACACATTCCAGTGTTTGTCTCTGGACGTGGGCCCTGGTGGGGACACAAAATCAAAAACAAAATCTCCTGCCAACCCAGAAAACTTCTCCACGAAGGTAGAAGAAAAAGAAAACAGTTTTACTGTTGAATCAACTTTAAACTGGAATGTGATCCACGTCACCCTCTCTCCCCTAAGAGATCACAAAGATGGAGCGAGAGCTCACTCTTACGTGGCCAAGCAGACATAACCCATGGCATTCATGTTTTCGGGATAAAATTGCTAATCTTGTATCTCTATGGCTGGAGGTGCGTTTTGCAATTTGGAGTCAGGTGACAGTTGAAGTCAGGCTTCTCAGCGGGGACACTTACCTCTTGATGTCAAGTCTCAAAAAGATGGCCCTGCCTCCCAGAGGAAACATTCCTGAGTGGTTAGACTGGCAAGAGGCTTGTTTGGCCATTAAAAAGATTTACACACATTTGAAAAGGACGGAGAAGGAAATTCTGCAAGACACCTCTTCCCTTATTTCCAGCAGGGAAAAGTCAGTCTTAAAAAAAGATTTTACTGGCCGGGCGCGGTGGCTCACGCCTGTAATCCCAGCACTTTGGGAGGCCGAGGCGGGTGGATCATGAGGTCAAGAGATGGAGACAATCCTAGTCAACATAGTGAAACCCCGTCTCTACTAAAAATACCAAAAAAAAAAAAAATCAGCTGGGCATGGTGGTGTGTGCCTGTAATCCCAGCTACTCAGGAGGCTGAGGCAGGAGAACTGCCTGAACCCAGGAGGCAGAGGTTGCGGTGAGCCGAGATCGCACCATTGCACTCCAGCCTGGGTAACAAAAGTGAAACTCTGTCTCAAAAAAAAAAAAAAAAGATTTTATCTTTTAAAGCAACATTAGGTTCAAGCTGAACTCAGCAAAAAGTACAGTGAGTTCCTGTATGCCCCCTGCCCCTGCATACACACACACACACACACACACACACACACACACACTCTCACACACACACACTCACACACACACACACACTCTCACACACACACACTCACACACACACACACACACACACTGTCTCACCACACACAGCCTCCTCCACTATCAACCTCCCCATTACAGTGGTACATTTGTCACAAACAATGAACCTATGTCACACATCGGGACACAGGATGAGAGAGAGAATGTTACATAGACTTTGTTAAAATAACACATTTTTAAAGCCTCGCCACATAATGTAGTTGATTTTTCACAATTTACTGCTCTTTGTCCAATTCAGTAAATAAGTATTTGACTCTAATTTTTTCTTTGGGTCTTCATCTCCTTATAAGGGTTCCCCTGCCACATAAAACTTGTATGAAATAAATTTGTAGGGTAGGTGCAGTGGCTTACTCCTATAATCCCAGCGCTTTGAGAGGCTGAGGTGGGTGGATCACCTGAGGTCGGGTGTTTGAGACCAGCCTGACCAACATGGAGAAACCCCGCCTCTACTAAAAATACAAAATAATTAGCTGGGCATGGTGGCACATCCCTGTAATCCTAGCTACTCAGGAGGCTGAAGTAGGAGAATCACTTGAATCTGGGAGGCGGAAGTTTCAGTGAGCCGAGATCGCACCATTGTACTCCAGCCTGGGCAAAGAGAGTGAAACTGTCTAAAACACACACACACACACACACACACACACACACACACACACACACACACTTTTCTCCTGCTAATCTGTCTTATGTCAACTTATTTCTCAGGCCCAGCCAGGACCCTAAGAGGATAGGGGTAGAGCTTTGCTGTCCCTACAGTGTAATGTAATCGAACCACCATATAGAGTATTCTTACTGCCTTAAAAGTTCCCTGTGCGGGCCAGGCACAGTGGCTCACACCTGTAATCCCAGCACTTTGGGAGGCCAAGGCAGGCCAAGTCTCACCTAAGGTCAAGAGTTCAAGACCAGCCTGGCCAACATGGCAAAACCCTGTCTCTACCAAAAATACGAAAATTAGCAGGGCCTGGTGGCGGGCGCCTGTAATCCCAGCTACTCAGGAGGCTGAGGCAGGAGAATTGCTTGAACTCAGAAGGTGGAGGTTATAGTGAGCTGAGATCACACCACTGTACTCCAGCCTTGATGACAGAGCGAGACTATGTTCCAAAAAAAAAAAAGGGCCGGGCGCGGTGGCTCAAGCCTGTAATCCCAGCACTTTGGGAGGCCGAGGCGGGTGGATCACGAGGTCAAGAGATCAAGACCATCCTGGTCAACACGGTGAAACCCCGTCTCTACTAAAAATACAAAAAATTAGCTGGGCATGGTGGTGCGTGCCTGTAATCCCAGCTACCCAGGAGGCTGAGGCAGGAGAATTGCCTGAACCCAGGAGGCGGAGGTTGCGGTGAGCCGAGATCACGCCATTGCACTCCAGCCTGGGTAACAAGAGCGAAACTCCATCTCAAAAAAAAAAAAAAAAAAAAGTCCCCTGTGCTCCATCTGTTTATCCCTCTCTCCCCCTTAACTCCTGGCAACCACTGATCTTTTTACTATCTTCACAGTTTTCGCTTTTCCAGGATGTCATGTCATTAGAATCTTACGGTATGGAGCTACTATGGTTTGAATGTGTCCCCCAAAACAGGTGTTGGAAACTTAATCCCTAATGGGACAATGTTGAGAGATGGGGTCTAATGGGAAGTGTTTACGTCATGAGGGCTTCACCCTCATTAATGAATTAACGCTGACTATAAAAGGGCTGCAAGGTCAATCTCCTGCTCTCTCTCACCCTCTTTTTTCCCTCTCCCATGGGATGATGCAGCAAGAAGACCCTTGAAAGACACCAGCTCCTTGATGTTAGACTTCTCAGCCTCCGGAACTGTGAGCCAACACGTTTGCATTCATTGTAAATTACCCAGTCTGTGGCATTCTGTTATAGCAGCACAAAACGGGCTAAGATAGTAGCTTTTTCAGATAGGTTTCTTTCACTTAATAATATGCATTTAAGATTCCATCAAATCTTTTCCCGGTCTAGTTGCTCACTATGTTCCACTGTCTGGAAGTACTACAGTTTAGTTATCCATTCATCTATGGAAGGACCTTTTGGTTGCTTCCAAGTTTTGGCAATTATGAGGAAAGCTTCTATAAATATCCATGTGTAGATTTTTTGGTGTGCTCCTTTCACTATACACTAAGAAGTGTGGGCCGGGCGCAGTGGCTCACACCTGTAATCCCAGCACTTTGGGAGGCCGAGGCAGGTGGATCACGAGGTCAAGAGATCGAGACCATCCTGGTCAACATGGTGAAACCCCGTCTCTAATAAAAATACAAAAAATTAGCTGGGCATGGTGGCGCGTGCCTGTAATCCCAGCTACTCAGGAGGCTGAGGCAGGAGAATTGCCTGAACCCAGGAGGTGGAGGTTGTGGTGAGCCGAGATCGCGCCATTGCACTCCAGCCTGGGTAACAAGAGTGAAACTCCGTCTCAAAAAAAAAAAAAAAGTGTGATTGCTGGGTCATATGTTAAGGGTATGTTTAGTTTTGTAACAAACAAAAAAAAGCCAGGTACAGAGGCTTGTACCTGTAATCCCAGCTACTTAGGAGGCTAAGGCAGGAGGATCACTTGAGGCCAGGAATTCAAGACAAGCTTGGGCAACATAGCAAAGCCCTGTCTCTAAAAAAATCAAAATCAAATCAAATAAAAAGAAACCATCAAACAGTCTTTCAAA